GACAGATTTGATCTCATGCTGCTAGAAACAATCACAGCCCTGGGAAAGAGGCTTTCTGACTTTAGCAAAAGGGCCCTATTGGCCTGAGGGAAAACAATTTGTTTCTCTATTTTTCACCAAGGGGAGAAAAATATGCCACTGTCAAATGTGCCTCTTTAATGTATAGATTTTCAGTTGGTTATTTTTAAGAAACAGTAGACACAGGAGAAGCTCTGAAAGCCATGTGGAAATTACCCTTTTGCAAGTGACATTTACATTTATAAGGGAAATCGCCATTCATAAGGGTGTCTCCCTCTCTGTACCAGTAAGAGAAAGATGACTCTAAAGCTCTAGAAACTCTTATCAATGGAGAAGACTACCACTTAAATCTGCATGACAAAGTTACCCTTGTTTACTATGCTCTGCCTTTTGACCTCCCATAACTACCCGCTCCCCAAATCTATTGTGTTTAGCTGGAGATGGGATTTAGGGCAATGGCTTGGGCCAATTCAGGGAATTACTCAGTTTTGCTGGTTATCTCCCATGTATCCAGGAGATATACGTGTTATTAAACTTCTGTTTGCTTTTTTCTTGTTAATCTGTCTTTTATTACAGGGTTAGAGGGGATGGGTTTCAGCCAAGAACCTAGAAGGATAGAGGGAAAATCGCTTTTCCTTCCCCACACTCATTTTCCCAGAAATTGATCTCCACCTGTGCTGGTGACTCTTTTAGCCCCAGGGGTCTACAAGCTGAAGTGGGCAGGGAGAAATAGCTTTTTCTTTCAGAATTATGTCACGCTATCTGGCCACAATCAATACCACTCATTTTATAAGACCTGACTTTCATCTGTGTAAAATGGTTGGTTGCCTGTCTATGTTAGATTTCATTATCAAATTGCTCCCATATCTTCTATTCATCTTAGAAATTTCTCTTGGCTGCTGGTGGCACTCCTAGGATTCCAGGGTTAATACAGATATATTTTTCTCAGTCTTTAATTCCTTCAAAAGTTATTTATGTGTTTATTTCACAATCCCTTCATCTGTCTACTCAGTTCCATCTGTAGCTTTGCAAGTCTATCAATATTCTCTTGAAGATGTGGTACCCAGAATTGGGTGTAATATTCCAGTCATGTTCTAAGAAGATGACAATGAGATTCTACTTTTTATCTGAATGTTATTATTATTATTGATCTAAAGCCATTGAATCTTCACAAAAGTTTTAGATCACAAAAACTTTGAAGTAGGCAAAGATGACCTTTTCTTTTTTTTCATAGATGAGGCTCTGTTCCAAGCTGTTATTTTGTTTCTCTTGTCTTATTTTTAATTTCACTAGCCAAAGCAATTATCTCTGCATCCTACCATGTCCTCCTGATACTGAACCTCTTAATCTCAAATTTGTGTGCCCGATGCACAGCCAAACACTGAGACATCAGTGCTTGGAGATGGAAAAAGATTTATTCTAATTGGCTAAAAGGAGTGGTGGGAGCCTGGCTTTGCACAAGAACAGAAAGGAGGGGGATTTCATAGAGCTAAGGGGCTTGGCAGAAGGATCTTCAGGGAAACAGAGGGGTCACTCCTGATATGCCCCTGGGCAATCTGACTTCTGGGCTTCAAAGGCTGCTGAGGGCCTAAAATTTTGTGATAGTAACCTTAACCTTTCTGATGACATTCTCTTTCTTTTACATAACAAACTCACAAATCTTGGAGACCCCTGAGTCACCCCTCAAGTGAAACAGGAAAACAGCAAATTGGTTTCACATCTACAGTAACCCACAGGTACATGGCTTCACTCCTCTCAGTTTGACGCTTACTGCCAGCAAGACCATCCAAAACTTAGCCTAAGGAGGTTGATCTGGTTACCTCTGCATAAAGAATGGTTCTTCTGCTTTTACATAAAGGCTCTTACGGACTCCAATGTCTGATAGACTTACTGTGTAATCAGTTTCTCTGTAAAGTAAATTACTTCTTTATTTTACAGGCCTCATTCTTCATTGAGGCAAGGATTAATATTACCTACTACGGAGGGTGATATATCATATGTTAGGGAAGAATGAAACAGGTTCAGCAGAAGTTTTTGATAACATTTCTAAATAGAAGGAAAGCACAGATTAGCTTCCTGTGGGAAGTCAGGATCCCCTGTCCTGTGTCTGGCCTCCAGAGGGCGATGTTGCACAAGATAGAGGTCCCTGTTTCTGTCAAGATCAGAATGTTCCCCTCAGCCTTTCCTGCAGTGAGCCAATTGAAGTACCCTCCCTGAATTCTTTGAGGTCGAGATAAGTGAGACAAACAGAGGTCAGAAAGCACCCAAGATCATGTCAGCAGTTTCAGATTTTTACCTAAACAAGGGACTTGTCTAGCCCATCCTTACTCACAGCTCCTATTTCCAAGATCTGGGTTCCACAGCCACTTTCCTGCTTGCTCAGGGGACATCTTCCAGAAAGAAGCCTGCAGCATTCCCACTGCTCAACCATGATCATGGTGCTCATCCCAGTACTGGGGATGCTTTTTGCGCTGAGTAATATCCTATTGTTGTCCCTGGTTCTACAGAAGTAAGTGTTTTCCTATTCAAATTTTAGTGGAAATACTTTTCATAGCCAAGTCTACACTGCTTTCACTGATATGATGTTAATTTTTCAGGAGATGCCAGAGCTCAGTCAGTGACACAGTCTGACAGCCATGTCTTGGTCTGTGAAGGATCTTCATCATTCCCTTTGATATGCCCAATCACACTCTTGGGGAGGAAGCCAAACTACGTTTTCCACAATCCCTTTCTTTTATCATGTAGTTTAAATTCTGTAATTGAGAAGCGTTTGTGTGATATAAGGAAAGTGGAAGAGAAGAAGAAGCCATTATTCTTCAGTAGGGGCTGTGGGCAGACAGCTGAGATGACCAGCAGTGGCTTTGTTTGGCTTTCAAGTTTCTTCCTAAGAATCATTCACTTTGATATTGCACACAGCTGGATTCATTACACTTCAGAATTTCTTGTAATCAGTCCCTCTCAATTTTGCTTTATTAGCTCTTCCAATGGCTGTATGTCTAATTCCTTTTATTAAATTTCTTTCTACTTAAAACATTAGACTTGTTTCTGTTTTGACTGATTTTTGACTAATACATCTGGGTATATCTAAATCCCTTAAGCAGAGCTTCTGAGCTCTTGAAGTCAGGATATCTGAATAAAATCTATTATTAGTGGTAATTAGGTTAAGCAATTTTTGTTATTGATAACACAGTTCTAACAGATTCCACTCAAACCTGCTGTTAACAATTCCTCAATGACATTCATCTACTTATTATCTCATGGTGTGGACAATAGATTACCGCAGAAGAATGGAGGGTTGCTACAATGCAAAGGACAAGATTGACTTGAAATAGTAAGGAAATCATGGAAAGTGAGGCTGTTCACTCTGCTCATTTCCACTTTGACTTCAGGTAGAGTAGATTAGAGGTCTGGACCCAAAGAACCAGGAACAAGGAGGAAGATACTGCTTGCTCCAGGTATTGACACATGTTAGTAGAAGAGAAAAGGAAGAGAGAGAAGTGATCATGAACCTAAACAATATCCAGACATAAATTTTCTACCCAAGTCTGGAGCTTGTTACTACTTATACCTTGACTCAGGACCTCATAGCTGCCTTCTCTGAATTCATGGAGAGTGAGTGTTCCAGGAAGTACACTGAAAAAGGCTTCCATGTTCAAAGACAAATGTTAGTAGGGCTTGACAGCAAAAAGGCGTCCTTTCCCCTAAGTTTGTCCTGTGAACATGCAGAGTTTTTTGTTATAAGTTGAATGGGCAAGAATAAGGACAGTGAGCATTATTTGTTCTTGCTACTGTGATTTCAGTACTACCATGAGAAGAGGATGGCTTTAAAGTTTTGTAAGGTTTGGAGGAATTTCCCGTGTTGACCCAAGAAGTGCTTCATGGAGACCTTGACTGTCCTCTGAATTCAGGGTTCCCGAAGGTTATTTTGTAAGTTTGTATAACACTGGATACATCACAAACTATCTGAGATGTTTAACTTCCCAGACCTACATTCTAGAGTTTGTGATTTTGTAAGTAGATGAAGAACTCTCTAAATCTGTATTTTTATGTTGATTATCAACTAATTCTTATAAACAAGGAAATTTCACCCTTGCCATAAAATGCTTCTGTACATCAGCAGATGTGTCTGTAATCCTAGAAGCTGAGATTGAGCCCATTCTTTAGTCTTTTGAAGCAAATCCATATATCTGAATATCTTATCCTATGGTAACAATAATTTAGTGGAACAGTATTGTTCAATAATGTTGATACGTGGACATACTCAGAAAGCATACTTGAGGCAAAGTTTCCCCTAAAATTTTAGTATCAGAACATTTTACCTGATACACAGGCCAATTACATTATGTGAGAATTATTGAAATCTTAAGGGAGAAGAAAGTGATGCCAGATAATTTTATAGGGATTCAATAACTTTACTGTATTTCTTCAATGCTGAGGTATATATTTTTCACTTCTTAATTAACATATATGTAATATATAATTCTTTTTTTCTTTGTAAAGTTTTTATTAAATTGTATTTCTTACAATTGAATTCTTAGATATGAAGCAGTATGGCATCTCAAGTAGCAGCAATTTCTCAACCAAAGACCAATTATTTATTCACTTATTTATGCACTGAACAAATATTTGCTGGCCACCTGCTAAATGTCCAAGATTGTTCTAGGTGTGGGAACAGAGTGATGAAAAGAAGTTTAAGTCTCTACCCTCCAAAATCATCTATTAATGAGTCGACATATGTTATTGAAATTCCTCCGATTTTATCCTAAAGCTTGATTATATAATATTTCAGTGGATCTCAAGGAGGCCAAAAATGGCTAAAAAAGAAAAAATAAAATTGAGTTCTCAGAAATGTCATGGTGTGGAGCTTCCATATCAGGCAGTATGCTGGGGAAAAAATAGGCTAATGAAAAACACCAACCATTCTTTAGATTTACAAAAGACCATCTTGACAGCTAACAGGTGTCATAACAATAGAGCCAGAGGTGAAGATATAGGACTGACTTCAAGAGGAGAACAGGATAACATTCCTCCACATTGAGTATCTTGTCCACAAGGGGGTGCATCTTTCTAACACATACATGTATATTTCCTGCTTAAATTATAAGTTCATATTCCTCCTTTCACTGTTATCTTAACTGTTCTTCCCACTAAACAGTTAAGACTCAAGGACACCAGAGACTCTAAGAATGAACTTCTCTCCAGGGTCAGTGATTGTGATATTCTTAATGTTTGGTAAGTAAATTGACACATAAAACTTTAAGTCTCTCATTCCATTATGTTGGAGTAATCCTTAACCAGAGATTTTTTCTTAAAGGGACATTCCAGATCATGCCAAGGTAAGCAGAATCATTACTGTTATTATTGTTTTTTTCAGGAAGAAGCAATGGAGACTCAGTGACCCAAACAAAAGGTCAGGTAACCCTCTCAGAAGGGGCTTCGCTGACTGTGAACTGCTCCTATGAAACCACACAGTACCCTGCACTTTTATGGTATGTCCAATATCCCAGAAAAGGTCCACAGCTCCTCCTGAGAGCCTCAAAGGCCAACGATAAGGATCGCAACAAGGGTTTTGAAGCCACATACAATACAGAGACCACCTCCTTCCACTTGGAGAAAGCCTCAGTCCAAGAGTCAGACTCGGCCATGTACTACTGTGCTCTGAGTGACACAGTGACAGGAACCGCAGAAAGAGCTGAACATAAACTCTGAGCGTTAACAAGGGGTCTGTGTGCTGAGTGTCTCACCTTATGTTCCACTCTGGTTTAGGAATCAGGAGCTAGTCTTCTGTTGTCGTCACCCACCATCCACCCCAGGTATTGTTGTTGGTATGAAAGTCATCCAAATCAATTCTAAGAACTCAGCAGTAGAAAAAGAAGTAAAAATGCCTCATACATGGTGCCTTAATGGTGTGAGTGAAAACAGAGTACGTCACCATAGTTCCTGGATCACAGCTGAAATTTGTGATTTTAAAAATATAAAACCTTACTGTGAATGAAATGGTCTATGTGTTCATCTTTGCATAAAATTCTAGCCCCCTGACCTTGTTCCAGATCATCCAGGGAAATGTTGTGTTTAGAGACACATCTGTAACACATGAGGTTGCACATGGTTAACATCTCCCTGACAAGCTGGAGGAAGAAGAGATGCTTCAGCCCAAGACACAACAGATTCCTAAGGGAAGAAAGAAATATAAGAAAGGAAGGAGGAGAGAATCCTACATATGACCTCACATATGGAAAGAGAAGATGGAACATTTCTTACAGTTTCTTTTTGGGAACATTACATGGCAGATGGACTGGTACTCTCCATGCACATTAAGACAAGATTTTTTAAATTCTCCAAAATTAGAGTAGTGCCTGCATCATAATAAAATCTTTTCAAACATTTGTTAACTAATAAATGAGTAGGAAAACCCCTTACTACTACCACAACAAGCTACCAAGTTTTTCATTGAACAAATTTATTCAAGGGGTAATTCTTTGTGTTTTTCTCTAGCCAATATATTTATATATACCTCATTTTACATACACTATGTAATATATTATTATGTAATCTTTGTTTGTCAGTAGGTTAATTATGATATGATTAGGTGTAATTTTTTTTTAAATTTTATCCTGTGTGGGGTTTGCTGAGATTCTTGAATTTGTAAATGTATGTCTTTCCTCAAATTTGGCAAGTTTGGCTATCCTTTCTTCAAGTATGTTTTCTGCTCCAATCTCTCTCTCCTCTCCTTCTTGTACTCCAATTACGTGTATTTTAGACTTTCAGATATTGTCCCACAGGTCTCCAGAGCTCTGTTATTTTTTTGTTGAGACAGTTTCTTTATATAAGTTTAGTTACACCAACTCTACTCTAAATTTTTCTAACATTTTAAGATAAATTTTATTGATCAAAATTCACTTTAGTTGTACTAACTGGGGTATGGTTGTTATTTGATTTTTCTAGGAGTTGACATGAATGAAACATATCCAACAATTCTTTACCTTTGTTGCACTAGAAATGGGTTTATAGAGCTGAATTATAGCATTAGGGTGGTTATTGCTTCAAGCAAAGCCAATACCTTAGCAAGTTATTTTGTTAGTAAGAAAATAAAATAGAGTAAATCAGAAATGTGTAACATTCTAGTATTAGTAGGAAAATGCCAATGAAAGGAATAAAAACAAAGAATGCAAAAGAGAGTATGACAATCAGCGGTTCCAAACATCTAGGAGAATTCTCTTCTAATGGTCTTGGATGGAGCTGTCTACTTTATGCTGTTATATGTTTGTTTCAAGGCTACGGGCCCGCACTCATCTTCTGTGGACTCTCTGCTTCTGACCATTCTCTGGAGAACCAACTTCAGTTTAAGATCTCTAATGTAAGTAACTATTCAAATCTTGTCACTTAAGGATGCATGATGTCCTTTATCTGCTCAACTGCTAATAAATAGTACCCAATAAGGTCATTTTCACAAGCTCATTGGGAGTCTTTCTCTGGGATTTTTTCAGAGTATCAAATCACCCAGGTTGAGTTCATGCAAAGGCTGATTAAAGGAAGGGCTAGGAAATCAAACTGTTTGATGAAAAGACTGAGTATCATGGGTTTATTTATCTAGTTCGGTTCATGAAAGATTGGACTATGTATGGTTTGGTACATTCTGAGTTACATGGGCCTATCAGTGATGAGTTAATAGTGAGAAAACACATGACTTTGTGAGAGGAAGAATGCAGGGCCATGAGCACTAAGGCTAATAATACATCAGGCCGTAGGAATTCAAGGGTGTCTGCTATAGTAACTTATTTCAGTTTTAATATTCCATTTGTTCTTTCCACTTTTTCAGAGGATAGAGGGGTGATAAGAACAGTGAAGTTTTTGAGTGAGGGCAGAACTTTACATAACTGTCCCAGAGAAATTTGCTCCCTATGCAGAGATGAATTGAAATGGCAGAGGTAGTAAACACAAAATCAAGCTGATTTTGAACTCTTGTGAGTGCTGTGGTTTTCTAACCATAGGAAAGAGCTTCAACCCATGTAGAAAATAAAATACTATTACCAATATATGATCCTTGGAGGGAATGCAATTATGTAACATTCTTTCGGAGATATTCAAATATTTCCTTGAGACAGTATTTCAGTTCATATTCCACCTTACAGTTTTTCCTGGATTTTGTTGGTTCCAACAAAAACTTGAACTAGCCTCATTCTCTGCCAGCCTAGAAAAGTTTCCCCACCAGTATTTGTTTATATTTCAGCCAAGATGTCCCTAATGTGATATGTTGTCTCTGGAGGATTTTAGCAAATGTCCATAGGAGATCATTTGGCTCTGCCAGGCAGCTGTCCTCTCTTTGACATATCTTGCCCTTATGAATCTAACAAATCAATCATTTCTAGAGACTCTTTACAAAATTGGGGGATAAATTTTCTGCATCTAAGATGGAATTATTAAACATTTCCATGGATTTGTCTTTTGGTTCTCAGAGAATGCTTGCATGACACTTTAGTCAGAAAGCCATGTTTAGAATGACAATCTGCTCAAGCATTTTTTCCTAGCTTCTACAGTGTCTTTTATATCGTTAGACTTTGTCTTTATGACAAGAATTTCTTTGAGTAGTGTGAAGACATCAAATAATTCGTGAGTTTTGTGTCAGTTTTTAGTAGGGGTACATGAGATACCTGAGAGTTAAGAAAAGGTTAGATGGTTCAGAAACCTCATTGTCTCCACAGTATTTGGAAGCTGTGAACTATGTTAAAAACATATTGACTAACACTGAATATAACCTTTAGTATATTGACATGCCCAAGAGAGATCCACAGGTTCAGCCACTTGAATTGGTTTTGCTTCTTCTAAGGGATTGGATTTTACAAGGCAGTCTGGAGTAGTTATTGCATAACCAGTCTGGTATTGACTATTTCAATTATCAAGATAAGATTATTAGAAAACTTATTAATGAAGAAATCAGTATGAGAGTGTCCCAAAAATCTCTTCTCGACTTGGACACTTCTTGAAAGAGAGAAGTACAGTCATGAAATTCCCTAGACTAATGTATTAGGGTTGAATAAAGTGAGAAGAAATTAATAATATTTCACATTTACTCAACCAACTGGCAGAAAAATGTTGCATGATTTTAGAGAGTTATTGTCCATAAATTAGATGGTAGAATAGTTTATATGGTATGTGGTGCCATCAGATTTAATGGAGATTCCAGTATAAGGTCTGAAGACTGTTCAACCAATTTAGCTGAGATTGCAATTATTTTGAGACAAGGATGATAAGCTCTGGCTTCTGCATCAAGAGATCAGCAGTGACAGGCAAGGGATTTTTGTTGTTTGCCATGTTGTTGAGTAGTATCCCTAAGCATGGCCTTACTTTTAACATACACATGAAGAGTGAGTTTTCCTACAATCAGTGATCCTATGATCAGCTGGCATGTGGAGGTGCACAGGGTCACCTAAGTCATATTCTCTTCAGATCTGGGCATCCAGAATATAGAAACTTACTGTGGTTCGTTTAGGGTCCCAACTGAGGTACTGGTAAAAATATAAATCCCAGGTTGGATAACCTAATGGCCAAATTCCATGGTCTATTCTGCCCTTTATGAATAGAGCTGGACAGTCGAAACTGAATAGAAAAGAGAAGGGGACCTCTGTGACAGGACTCACTGTCTGAGGGGCTTTAGTCTAAACTCCTCAGCACAGAGTAATTATATTTTTCTGCTTTTGGCCAGAGATAGACAACTGAACAGACATTGATAGTGAGGAGGAAAATTGCTATAACCATAAGTTTATTGAAAGAGCAACAGTGATTAGTCCAAACAGCTTCACCTTCTTATCGTAAAGTGATGTATTTCTACCTTAGGCGAAACAATAGCATACACAGGTGTGAGAATACATGATTATTACTTCTTGTGTTATTTCCATAATCCATTTCACATAGCATTTGTAATTATTTTCAAAATAAAAGTTGGTTAATTCAAAAGGAAGCTCGGGTTGAGGGAGACTCTCAGGGCACAGAGAAGTTTGATGTGACGCATACCAACCTGCTACACCAGGAAACCCTTATTTCCTGATTTGGGGCAGCAGCAGCACACACTCAGCAATTCTTCCCTCACCCTGTCAGACTCACTTCACAGTGCAGAGCTCCCAAGTGGAAGAAGAGCAAGATATTTTTTGTCTAGTGGAAGAACTCCAACATGTTGTTCTGCAGCCTTCTGAAGGTTGTCATGAGTTCAGTGTGGCTAGGTGAGGATGGCGCCAGTGGGAATGTGCCTCCTTTATGACCTAAGGACTGGGAGTACAGACAGTGTTTTGTGGGTACCCTGGGAAAGAGAGGTTGCAGGGTGTAATATAGAACTTCTTTGTCCCACACCATTTGTTCCCAAATTTTCTAATTCTATCTTTTGTCTTTCAGGATCCAGTATTGCTCAGAAGGTAACTCAAGCCCAACCAGCAATGTTAGTGCAGGAGAAGGAGGCTGCGACCCTGAACTGCACATATGATACCAGTGATTTCAGTTATAGTCTATTCTGGTACAAGCAGCCCAGCAGTGGGGCAATGATGTTTCTTATCCGTCAGGATTCTCACAAACAGCAAAATGCCACAGAAGGTCGCTACTCGGTGAATTTCCAGAAGACAGACAAATCCGTCAACCTTGTCATCTTAGATTCACAGCTGCAGGACTCAGCAGTGTATTTCTGTGCTCTAAGGGAGCCCACAGTGAGAGATGTGTTGGAGGGAGGTGTACCAAAACCCCAGGGCTCGGCATGATACATGCACCTGCTGTAGGGACCAAGTCACAGAAATTTTATCACAGATAGGAAGTGGCTAGGGCTGTGGCAGCATAAGTGTAGGGTTAGAGGGAAAATATTTACTCTAAGAAAATTCCTCTCTAGGTTCATAGACCCTCTCCAGAGTTATCATTCATCAAAAACGCTCTTATCCCTGAATCACTGGCTCGAAGATAGACATACAGAATTTGACCAAAGATTGAAGAGAAAGAACAGTTACATAAAATCTTTGCCATTTGTTAGTTAGATTGTGCTAGAAGAATTGGCTAAGGAAATTCAGAAATATATGACCAAAAACTCAGGAAAAATATGAGTGACTGTTGAATTTTCAGATCAATTTGTTCAACAAATGTTTATTGACTAGGTGTTACATAGGGGAGGAAAAATTCTCGTCTACCCTCTTAAGGTCCCTGGATATGCCTAAGAATTAGACTGACAAAGAAACAGCAAATCTGTGAAGAATTAACAAGACAAAGGGGTGGGCCAGTGGTCTTCCAACCAGGGTCCACAGTCTCATCTTCGATAAGGATTAGTTTAACAAGGCTTGTTTGCAGATTCCTCTGGTGCCATCTCTGGGCTGATCAGAGTCTCTCGCCAATAAAAGGAGAATTTATTTCCTGTCTTTAGGCAGAAAAGGGGGAGCATTTTCTGTGTTTACTGCTTCTTTTTTTCTTTTAAAGATTGGCACCTGAGCTAACATCTGCTGCCAATCTTCTTTTATTTTCTTCTTCTCCGCGAAGCACCCCAGTACAGAGTTGTATATTCTAGTTGTAGGTCCTTCTGGTTCTCCCATGTGGGATGCCCCCTCAGCATGGCTTCATGAGCTGTGCTAGGTCTGGGCCCAGCATCTGAACCGGTGAAACCCTGGGCTGCCAAAGCGGAACATGGGAACTGAACCACTTGGCCACGAGGCCAGCCCCTGTTTACTGCCTCTTAATTGTCTTTAGTTCAAAATAATTTTTATGTCAAAGAGGCATATTTTGGGGTGACATATTCTGGCTTCCTTCAATTATTACAGACATTCTTTGCAATAAATAAGGCCATGGAATCTCTCTGTAGGTTTCCTTTTTTCTACAGCATGCTGTTTCATACTGTCTAATGAATTAGTTTGTTTAGGTTCATTTTCTGTGAGTTAATGGTACTCATATTTACTTTCTAAGGTGCCTACTATGTGACAAACTTTGTGCTAAGAGTTCATTCCATCTTATTAACACCTCCAGCATGAAAAAACTCAATTGCCGTACTGGAGGTTTACCTTCCTCCCATCAGTCTTATCCATGAAATGATCAATAATTTGTAGTCTTGGGGCTGGCCCCGTGGCCGAGTGGTTAAGTTCCCGCGCTCTGCTGCGGCAGCCCAGGGTTCGGATCCTGGGCGCGGACATGGCACCGCCCGTCAGGCCACGTTGAGGCGGCATCCCACATCCCACAACTAGAAGGACCTGCAACTAAGATATACAACTATGTACGGGGGGTTTGGGAAATAAAGCAGAAAAAAAGATTGGCAACAGTTGTTAGCCTAGGTGCCAATCTTTAAAAAGAAAAATAATAATAATAATTTGTAGTCTTACAGGGACATTTGGGGGATCTCCTTGACAGAGACACAAACCTCTTTATTTGTACATAAATAAGGAATCATTTTCTTCTAATGTGAATCACCATCATTGCAATGTATTAAATTCCTCCTTTCATTATGTTTCCACATGCTTCATTTCATTCTGTTGATTTATGTATCTCATTCTATGTCAACCTGAGAAGATAGTTTTACGGAAAATTTATTACCTGTGAGGGTAAATCACTGCTCACTCTTACCATTTTTCAAGAAATTTTGGGATAATTTGCACATTTATTTCTCAATATAAGCATGAAAAATGTTCTCTCATTTTATTCATGTTCAATATCCCTCCATTAAAAGAAACAAAACACAAAGTATTTGAAAAGCAGAAAATTGTAATTGCATTTAATGACAATGTTAACATTTAAAATATTCTTTTATTTTTAAATTCAGGAAAATGCTATTTTTTCAATTTATAAAGCACTTCTAATGTTTTTCATTGTACTTCGAAGTTTCTTACCTTTATCTTCAAGTGACTTTCTCTATATCCCTACATGTAAATCTATGTGTACATATTTAATTGAACTTTCTGTTTTATATTCGGTTTTACTGATATTCCATGTAGAAAAAAGGCTATTTACAAACACCTTGATTATATACCTAAGAATTTCTAACTTCCAATTTACAGATAATTTGTGATGTATTCTTACTATCTAGACTATAAATTTTATTTTACACAGCTTCTTAACCTTGATCCAACACGTACAAAAGATAGTACAGTAAAAAAAAATTCACTGTTCAATAGAGAAGCAAATTTTCAGATTAAGAAATTAAAAAGTAGAAGGCAGTGTATTAATGGAATAATGCAGCTTGATATTTTAATAAAAGTTATTTATTCATTTACATATATCTGTTTATTCAGAAAAAGTCTTTGAATGCCTGCTGTGTGACAAACTTTCTGCTAAGTGCTCATTCTATTTTATAGCCTTATTAACACCTTTAGGATGGAAGAGCTCAATTTTTATAATGTAGGTTGATCTACCCCCTAATAGTCTTATCCATAAAATGACCAATAACTTGTGATTATAAGAGGGGTATTGTAAAGGGTCCAAGTATGAATTCTCTCTTTTCTCTGCTCTTATCCTTCACTTCCCCACTCCTTCAAAAGCTTTCAATGCCATCGTGTGGCTCATTTTGTACATCCCCAAGCCTGCTATGCTCAATCAATGTTCCACAATCCAAAATCCTCATTCTCTCCTATTTCCTCCTTCCACCTCTAATCCCATGTTCTTAGTGTCTTAAAGTTTGCATGGTAATGGTTGGTTGATAAGTGATCTTGTATAACTTCCTCTTAGAGTTATATTTAGAAAGCAGATGTGTAGAGTAGAAATCATAAAGAGCAGCATGTTTTTAAAAACTTTTAAAATTATTTTTAATTGTGGTAAAATGCACATAACATTAAATTTATGATCTTAGTCATTTTTTTTTTTAATGAAGATTAGCCCTCAGCTAACATCTGCTGTCAATCCTCTTCTTTTTTCTGAGGAAGACTGGCCCTGAGCTAACATCCAAGCCCATCTTCCTCCACTCTATATGTGGGACGCCTACCACAGCATGGCTTCCCATCGGTGCCATGTCCACACCCAGGATCTGAACTGGCAAACCCCGGGTTGCTGAAGTGGAATGTGCAAACTTAACTGCTGTGCCACGGGGCCGGCCCCATGATCTTAGTCATTTTTAAGTGTACAGTTCGGTGGTATTAAGTACATTCACTTTGTTGTACAACCATCACCACCATCTACCTCCAGAATGTTTTTCATCCTGTGAAACTGAAATTCTGTATCCATTACATAATAATTCCCCATTTCTGCTTTCCCCTCAGTCCCTGGAAACCACCATTCTCCTTTCTGTCTCTATGAATTTGACTACTCTAGTTAATTCTTATAAGTGGATTCATACAATATCTGTCTTAATGTGCCTGGCTTATTTCATTTAGCATAAGGTCCTCAAGGTTCATCCTGTTATACTATGTGTTAGAATTTCCTTCCTTTTTAAGGCTGGATAATATTCCATTGTATGTAATACCACTTTTGTTTATGCATTCATTTGTTGATGGACACTTGAGTTGCTTCCACGTTTTGGCTATTGTGAATAATGCTTTTATGAACACGAGAGTACAAATATCTCAAGATTTTGATTACATATCCAAGTTCTTTCAATTTTGAATTAACATATTAACAATATTAACAATATTGTTAATATTCCAGTCCATAAACACAGGATGTCTTTCCATTTATTTGTGCCTTTTTAAATTACTCTCAGCAATGTTTTGTAGTTTTCAGTGTACAAGTCTTTAGCTTCCTTGGTTAAGTTTGTTCCTAAATATTTTATTATTTTTGATGCTATTGTAAATGGAATTATTTTCTTAATTTCCTTTTCGAATTGGTCATTATTAGTGGATATAAATGCAACTGAGTTTTGCACGTTGTTTTTGTATCCTGCAATTTTGCTGAATTAATTTATTAGTATAAAAGGAAGCACTTTTAAAAAAGGGTGGGATTTCAGGTGCTGAAAGAGCAGGGAACAAGACATGTGTCCCACATATCTCAAAGAAACTCATGTGGGCCTCAAATCTTCAAGCTTATATAGGAATATGAACTCGGTAATGTAATCATTATATATCTTTACTACATAAATTCTCTTCAAAATTTAGTTTAAAGGTTGAGACATGAAAGGATGATGAACTTCTGAGAATAAACATTCTAATGTGTGCTGATGTACTGAAGATGCAGAATTTATAATTGAATACTGATTTTTAAAGCAATGTTTAGCTAGTAATGGAGAATACTAAAGCAGAAGAAAATAAGGTCTAGTCTATTTTTCATATTATAGAAACATCAAGTTTTACCTCAATGCACAAATCTAGTAAATGAAAGATCCAACACTTAAACTCATGTCATTTGGCTCCAGTCAATAGATTTTCGCTAAACAATGAAAACTTAAACTAAATAACTTCATCATGCAGCTTAAGAAGTTAGAAAATGAATAATAAAAGAAAATGAAAGAAAGTGTATTGAAAGTTTGAGAGACAAATGAAGAAATTGATTGGCCAAAGGAAAATAATAGAATCAAGGAAAAAATCACAATCTGATATTTAGAAAAAAACTAGAATACTATCATAATCTAGAAAAAAAATGAGGCGGGTCCAATACAGAAATGCAAATTAAAATACAACATAATTAAGTCTAGTTTATTCCAGTAATGAAAAAGAATATTTTAATACTTGAAAGTTTATTAATGTAATTCTTCATATTGGCAAATTTTAAAACACTTTAAGATATTCTCAAGACTGGCTTGATGGATTTGGTGTGAAATGATTTCCTTTGGATCTGAAAAGATTCATTATACCTGTTCAGTACATGTGTATTTGTGTAAGCTTAT